TATTAATGACCTGAAGGTAGAGCTGACATTCTGATGAGTGCAGTCCCTGCTTGCTGGCCCTCACAATAAAAGAGACATTCTTTGTTGAAATTACTAGTGAACAGGACCCTTTGGTGGTAGGTAAAATATGAACATTATGGCTTTTTATTAAACAAAGAGTTTTTAGAGTATAAAATTTTAGGAGAAATAAAAGTAATTTTGATGCTTGGAAAATAATAGAGAAAAAATAAAACAAGAATATAATACAGAATATATAGCCTGGGGAAATTATATTTTAAGATTTATAAAACAATGGTGAAATTGGCCTTCAGTCAGAAATTGGCCTTCTATTAATCATACCTAAGTAACATAATACTATGTAAAATAAATCTAACTTTGCTTTTATTTAAAGCATGCAGAAGCATCTATGTAGGTCAAGGCTAAACCCTCCGTAGCATCTAGAATGGCGTGAAACACTGTCCAATCTGCCAGCAGAGCCCATGCAGGGTGCACTCAAGTCAACACTGATATTCCCACTCCATCATTTTAGGAAATGTGTATACTTTTCCTCCTCTTGAATATTTTTATTCAAATTACACCCTTCAGCTTTTCTTTCTTCTGTGAAGACATCCAAGATTGTCTTGCTTTGAGATATACATGATTCTCCATAAATGTCACATTTCTTTATGCATAGAAACCTATAGCTAATATATTCAAACTTCCAGATGGATAAAAATCTTGTCCCTGAAAATACAGAAGAATCGTAATTGCGAAGGATTCCTTCTGAAGATGTTTAAAATTCAGGGTAGCAAAAAATACTACCTCTTTTCAGAAGGAAAAACACACAGGTTTTCCAGCTGTGCTTAAAGGAGATAGAAACTCCCTGATTCTTAGCTGTGACGCTCCTCGCCCACCTGAAGCTGCTTTGGCTTTGTCCCAGTGAGACCTGAGAGGTGGCGTGGAAACCAGGAGAACCAAAATGAATACAGGGCTCATGTTGTCTGCTGTCCTCTAAGTAAAACTAGTAAACTTTGCATACCAATATGGGCACATGTTCCTTTGTATGTGAAATCTATGGCAGTGTGGCAATATTTTAAGATTTTTAGTTTCAGGAGAAAATTCCAACAGCATATTAACATAGTATTCCTATCCGGAAAATGAGCGCCAATCCGTTAGGTGTCAGATGGGCTGAGTTTGTGATCTCACAACATCGAGGAATGAAGACATACATCAAAGGATTTTCTTAGAAATAAGATTTCCGCGAAGGATCCCAAGTGAGTGGCCACCAAAGCTCTTTGCCAAGATTATTTTATACAGCAAAATCACAATGAAGAAGGGGCCAGGGAGATGGCTCAGTGGAATATGCAGTTCCTTGGCCAAGTGCAAGGGCCTGAGTTCAATGCCTAGTTCTCCAAAAAGAAAAAAAAAGAAAGAAAGAAAAAGAAAGAAATCACAATGAAGGTCAAACAACCTTAAATCTATAGCACTATAAGCATAGCTACTTAAATAACAGTGATCCACTAGGGAAAAAATAATTGCATAGCAAGCATATATGGAAAGAATAAAAGTATTACTGTAAAGGATGGGTTTGCAAATCCAGATCATCTGGTGCCTACTTACATGTCTGACGCCTCTCCAGGCTCTCTAGACCTAATCACACACCTCTCAAGCAGCCGTTCACCAGCTGGGTGGCTTGCAGGCCCAGCCCTTCCAGCTCTGTCCTGAGGCCTGGCTCTCTTCACATGCTCCTCAACATGATCCTGCTGTGTTTCATCTTCTGCACTGACACCTTCAAGGCTGTGAGCCCTTTTTGGCTGGCTATCAATTTCTATCTAACTTATCTGTCTGCATTGTTTAAAAATATTATTGAAATGAAATTCCAGACCAAACTTGGTCACTTCCTACATTGTGGAATTATCTATTGTGGCTCCCCAAATGGTATTAAAGTTATTGTTCTCATTATTGAAGCTTTAAAATTTAAGAAATGGAACATTTAAACAAATTTTGAGAATTTTTAAAATGATTATACATTATTTATTTATTTTTGGCTGAACCAGGGATTGAACTCAAGCCCTTGCACTTGCCAGGGAAATGCTTATGCTACTGAGCCATCTCTCTGGCCCCATAATTTATTTCTGATAAACATTTAAAAGAATTTCTCAACTGTATAATAAAATAAAACTATATTTTTCACTTTTCTCTTCATAAACTTATCAGTGTCATTCCACATATTTGGAGATTTAAAATCCTTTATTCTGAATCAACATCAAAGTTTCAGGTAAAGAAAATCACATGGTCTCACTAAACATCGGTGATCTCAGTGAGAAGTCATTGTTCCTTTGGGATTTTTATACAGATATTGTAAAAGTGGAAGGATTATCTTCACTCTTATGTGCAGTCTATCAATATGTTCAAATGCCATGTTGATAGGGATAGGTACAATTCTAATTTTTTCGCACTACCTAGAAAAATATGAAACAAAGAATAGCAAACAAACCCGTTTGCACAATTTGATCATTTTGTTTTCATTTTTCTGTGTTCTCAGATAGTTCCATTATATATCTGAATGTAGAATTTAATAAGAATAAATTCTAGGTAGCAAAAGGCAGTGACATTAGCATTTCAAAAAAGTGTCAAGTTGCCTAAAGGTATTTTAGTATTTTTCATAATATCTTTACAATCAGTTTTGCCCTTGGGCTTTTCTCACTAGCATTGAAAATAAACTCATTCCAAACGTGATAACTAAAACATCAAT